ACCCACATCAACACCCACATCTATCCACACTCTCACACCCACACCAACACCCTCTCTCTCACATCCACACCAACACCCACACCCTCCACCAATACCCACCCATTCTCACACCCACACCCACACTCTCACACCCACACCAACACCCACACTCTCACGCCCACCATCAAACAAGACCACACACTTTAAAGCAACCGACCTACACGCTCACACACTCACACCCATCTTCGAGCAACGCACAAAGACCGAACGGAGCACAGACGCCCTTCCTTCCGAGTACAACAAAGGAACAGAGAGAGGGAAGGAGGGAGAGGGGGGAGGAGAGGAAAAAAAAATAATAAAAAAAACGTCGATAAAAGAGAGAGAAACGCATAGCTGAATGGGGGGGAGGGGGGGGGCGGGGGGAAGAAGTGAGAGAGAAATCAAGGGATGAATATGGAATCAGAAGGGGAGACTTCAAAAGCTTAAAATAAATGACTTTGATGTCCGTTTGATGTTTGTGAATTCGTATTGGGGGTTAAGGAGGGTAGGTTTTATTTTTTTTTTTTTACTGGGGGGGTGGGGGTAAGGGTGTGTGTGGGGGGGTAAGGAGGTGGGGGTAAAGGGGGGGAAGGGTTGAAGGGTTAATTTGGAAATTTGAGATTGTTGGCTTTATGGTAATTTGTCTCTCTCGGGTTTTTAGGCTGTCTGTTTGTCTGTCTGTCTGTCTGTCTGTCTCAACCTCAATATCTCTCTCTCTCTAATATATATGTATGTATGTGTGTGTGTGTGTGTATGTATATGTATGTATATATATAATATATATATATATATATATATATATATATATATATATATATATATATATATATACATATATATATATATATATATATATATATATATATATATATATATATATATATATATATATATATACATATATATACATATATATATACATATATATACATATACATACATATATATACATATATATACATATATATACATATATATACATATATATACATACATATATACATATATATATATACATATATATATACATATATATATACATATATATATACATATATATATATACATATATATATACATATATATATATACATATATATATATACATATATATATATAATATATATATATATACATATATATACATATATATACATATATATACATATATATACATATATATACATATATATACATATATATACATATATATACATATATATACATATATATACATATATATACATATATATATATATATATATATATATATATATATATATATATATATATATATACTTATAACTCCCTCTCCCTCCCTCTCCTTATCTCTCCCTCACCCCCTCCCTCTCCCTCACCCCCTCCCTCTCCCTCTCTATCCCTCTCCCTCTATATATATATATATATATATATATATATATATATATATATATATATACATATAACTCCCTCTCCCTCCCTCTCCTTATCTCTCCCTCACCCCCTCCCTTTCCCTCTCTATCCCTCTCCCTCTCTATCCCTCTCCCTCTATCTCCCTCTCCCACTCTCTCCCTCTCCCTCTCTTCCCTACAACACAAATCCATCTTGCTTCCTTGCCATAGCTATCACTCCTCCCTATTCAGCATCTAATATAATCTATAGTTTTGCAAAATAGGTTTTGATTTGATTTCGCTCTCGGTGCAACATATATAAAAAAAAAATTGCACGGTGTCTAAATCGGATTAGTTGCAAGGAAGGGAAAGCTCAAACCCATATTTCCGGGAGGTTGCATGCAATTGCGTGAAAAGGTTAGTTCGTATATTTATATGAGTTTTTTTTTTTTTACTCGTACACCTGTTGCGAGTTGAAGGGGTTGGTGGTAGGAAAAAAACTCTACGGGGTTGAAACGACGATTTTATTATCTTTTGACTTTATGTTTTTTTTTTTGTTTTTTTTAGTTTCTTTGGCAATTGTATGTGTTCTAATTTATGCTTAAAGGGTATTTTTTTTAATTGCTTATCCTTATCGTTATCATTATTTTTTCTTATTTCACTCTTCTCTAATACTATTCATCCCTCGATCATTCCATCCTTCCTTCCCATTCTCCCTCCTTCCTTCGTTTCCTCCGCTTCTACCCTTCTCTCCATTCCTACTCCATTCTCCCTCCTACCCTCCCTCACCTCTTTCCTTCTCTTCCCAACTCTTCTCCATTCCTCACTCCTTACCATTCCCTCCTATCCCCTCCCTTCCTCCTTCTCTCCCTCCTACCTTTCCTTCCTCCTTCCCTCCCTCCCTCTTACCTTCCCTCCTTCTCTCTTACCTTCTTTCTTCCTTCTCTCCCTCCCTCCTTCTTTCCCTCCCTCTTCCCTTCCCTTCCTCCTTCCCTCTTACTTTTCCTTCCTCCTTCCCTCCCTCCCTCTTACCTTCCCTTCCTCCCTTTTATCTTCCCTTCCCTTCCTCCTTCCCTCCCTCCCTCTTACCATCCCCCACCCTCCTTCCTTCCCTCCCTCCCTCTTACCTTCCCTCCTTCCCTCCCCCTTACCCTCCATCCCTCTTCCCTTCTCTCCTTCCATCACCCCCTTATCTCTCCCTCCTCCTCTTCCAGTCTTCTATTTCCAATCCAACTTTTTCCCTCTCTCTTCATTCCCTCTCTCTCTTACCATCCCTCCTTCCCTCCCCCCCCTTACCCACCCTCCCCATCCACCTGTTATCTCCCCCTCCTCCTCTTCCAGTCTTCTATTTTCAATCCAACTTTTTTCCCTCTCTCTTCATTCCCTCTCTCTCTTACCATCCCTCCTTCCCTCCCCCCCCCTTACCCACCCTCCCCATCCACCTGTTATCTCTCCCTCCTCCTCTTCCAATCTTCTATTTTCAATCCAACTTTTTCCTTCTCTCTTCATTTAAAAAAAAAAAAGATCCTTACTATTTTATTCGTCCGCCAGGCAAGGCCACGGGGAACTAGGTGACTCTTTGGTGACCTTTCAGAACATGTGGGTGCGAGGGGAAGGGGGGAGGGGGGGGAAGGGGGGAGAAAGGAGGGGAAGAGATAGAGAGGAAAGGAAGAGGGAGGGGAAGAGGGGAGAAAGGAGGGGAAGAGATAGAGGGGGAGGGAAAGGAGGGGAAGAGATAGAGGACGAGAGAAGATACGGGGAACTAGGTGGACTCTTTGGTGACCTTTCAGAACATGTGGGTGCGAGGGGAATGGGGTGAGGGGGGAAGAGGGGAGAAAGGAGGGGAAGAGATAGAGAGGAAAGGAAGAGAGGGGGAGAGGAGAAGAGGGGAGAGAGGAGGGGAAAGGGAAGTGGGAGGGGAAGAGGGGAAATGAGGGAAAGGAAGAGAGGGGGAGGGTAAAGGAGGGGAGAAAGGAAGGGAAGAGATAGATGGGAAAGGGGAAGAGATAGAAGGGAAAGGGAGAGAGAGGGGATAAGGGGGAAGGGGTGTGGGGGGGGAGAGAAGGGTGAGAAGAAAGGAGGGGAAAGAGAAGAGAGGGGGAGGAGAAAGGAGGGGTAAGAGATAGAGGGGGAAAAGGAAGGGGGGAGGGGAGAGAGGAGAAATTGAGGGGAAAGGGAGAAGAGATAGGGAAGGGAAAGGAAGGAGAGAGGAGGGAAAGGGGAAGGGTGGGGGGGGGAAGAGGGGAGAAAGGAGGGAAGGAAGAGAGGGGGAGGGAAAGGAGGGGAAGAGATAGAGGGGAAAGGAAGGGGGGAGGGGAGAGAGGAGAAATGAGGGAAAGGAAGGGGGAGGGGAAGAGGGGAAATGAGGGGAAAGGAAGAGGAGGGGGAGGTTAAAGGAGGGGAGAAAGGAAGGGAAGAGATAGAGGGGAAAGGGGGAAGAGATAGAAGGGAAATGGAGAGAGGAGGGAAAGGGGAAGGGGGGAGGGGGAAGAGGTGAGAAAGGAGGGGAAGAGATAGAGGGGGAGGGGAAAAGAGGGGAAGAGATAGAGGGGGAGGAAAGGAGGGGAAGAGATAGAGGGGAAAGGGAAAGAGGTGAGAAAGGAGGGGAAGAGATAGAGGGGAAAGGGAGAGAGGAGGGAAAGGGGAAGCTGAAAGGGAAGGGGGGAGGGGAGGAGAGAGAGGAGGGGAAGGAGCAAAGGGAAGGAGGAAAAGGGAAGGGGAGGGGGAGAAAGTAAGGGAAGGAAGGAGGGGAGAGAGGAGGAAACAGAAGGTAAATCGGAGAAGGCAAAAGAGGGGAGAAGGAGAGAAGAACAGAAAAGGGAAGGGAAAGAGAGGAGAGGAAGGAGAAGGCGAAAGAGGGGAGAAGGAGAGAAGAACAGAAAAGGGAAGGGAGAGAGAGGAGAGGAAGGAGAAGGCGAAAGAGGGGAGAAGGAGAGAGGAACAGAAAAGGGAAGAGAGAGAGAGGAGAGGAAGGAGAAGGCGAAAGAAACAGAAAAGGGAAGGGAAAGAGAGGAGAGGAAGGAGAAGGCAAAAGAGGGGAGAAGGAGAGAAGAATAGAAAAGGGAAGAGAAAGAGAGGAGAGGAAGGAGAAGGCGAAAGAGGGGAGAAGGAGAGAAGAACAGAAAAGGGAAGAGAGAGAGAGAGAGGAGAGGAAGAAGGAGAGAAGAACAGAAAAGGGAAGAGAGACAGAGGAGAGGAAGGAGAAGGAAAGAGGAACAGAAAAGGGAAGAGAGAGAGAGAGGAGAGGGTTTGGGATGACTTCTAAATGATGTATGACCCTTGACCTCTCTCTCTCTCGCTGACGTCACGTTCATTTTGGTTTTGATTGCCTTGTGGGCTGACTGGGAGACGGGTCTTGCGGCTGTCGTTTTATTATAATTATTATTATCATTGTCATTATTTACAATATAACAATAATCATAATAATTACTATTATTGTTATTGTTATTATTATTATTATTATTATTGATTATCATAATTAATGATACATTATTAATACATTATTATTATTATTATCTTTATTGCTATTATTGTCGCTGCGGCCTCGCCCTTTTTACTTTGGAGTTGGTTTACTGCATGAATACATCTATGGATTCTGGAGAAAAACCATGGTTGTTGTTGCTTCCTTTATTCTCCATAACTGATGAATACAGTTTCTACATCTTCCATATCCGTAATCATACGTAAAACTGAAAACAAAACAATTTGGACGTAACAACTGTGGCCACGTGGTCTTTTATACTATTAAATTCGTAATAGTTCACACAATTAACACAATTAAAGCACATTATTGAATGCTAACAAACTTATACAACATAAAATCATAATAATTGGATGGATAAACTAGTACAAAGAATATAATTTACCTCCAAACCCCTACAATAGGGCCTGGTGCTGTTTAGGCGACCACAGCTGCCGTTGAAGTAAACAACCGAGTTCCAATACCCGTCTATGTACGCGACTTTGGCACATAGTCTTTTAAAACATTTTTATTCATCTTTACTTTCTTAACTGGGCTGCTACACTTACATGGCTCCCTTAAATTGTTTACAATTTACAATCAACATTATACTACCTTAAAACTATAAACTTTATAAAACTTTCTTTTCTGAAAGTAAATACAAAAATAAAACATTTATCTTTTATCACAAATAAAATAAAGCTCTTTGGCGGGGACTTCCCTGGATATAAAGTACCACCCAGTAACCTGCTCTTATTTCATGTTATGCCACGACCTTGATGGTGATAGTGGCATCTACCTGGCAAAATTACAGGATGTCTACTTGCTTCATTCAAGTTTGCTTGACTAAGTCTTCCTTGTACTTTCATGATTCCATCAATATCCATAAATGGATCTAATTTGTACAAACAACTTCTCTTATTTAGGACTTTCTTTGTTTGAAGAACTCTTTTTTCATCTGCATAGTATTTACTCTGAAGTTCCTTTATTATTACTTTCTCTGCCTTTTCAAGCTCTGAAACTGTCACAGGACTATATGTTACATTTCTCTTATCAATTTTCTCCTCAGATGTTTCTGTGGTTTTCTTATTCTTACTTTGTAGACTTAAACACAATGCTGTAGCTCTTTTAGCTCTAAACCAATCTGAGAAATAGTCTAATCTATCAAGAAATGATTCTTCTTTCTTTGAAGTTACTACAAATGACACTTTCTTGACTTCTGGATCATCCTCAAAAATGGATCTTTGTTCACAGGAACTTCCACAATAATCAAGTTTCTTCCAAAGAAACTTTGGACCATTCCACCACATCAAATTATCCATTAATTCTTTGACACAAAGTCCACGTGCAGCACAATCTGCTGGATTTGACTCTGACTGTACATAATTCCATTGAATAGGATCAGTCCTATCTCTAATATACTGAACTCTATTTGCAACAAAAACATGAAACCTTTTGGCATCATTTGAAATGTATCCTAAGATTGCTTTACTGTCTGTCCAAAATATTTCCTTGATATTTTGATAATCAAGCTCCTTTCTTAACATGACACTTACTTTACTTGACACTACTGCTGCTGTCAGTTCCAATCTTGGAATAGTAACAGCTCTCAATGGAGTAACTCTAGACTTGGACATAACTAAAGAACAATGAATTTCATCATTAACATTAACAAATCTAATATATGAACACTGTCCATAGCCATCTTGGCATGCATCTGAAAAATGGTGTAATTCTACTGATTTCATTTCTCCAAAGCCTTCTGGTTTATAAACATCTTGGCAACTTAAGGTTCTGCAAATCACATAATTCATTTCTCCATTTTTCCCACAAGGGTTTAATATGATCAGGCACAGGATCATCCCATTCTACTTTACCCCTACATAAATCCTGGAGTATTTTCTTTCCTAATAGAATCAATGGAGATACTAGTCCCAAGGGATCAAATATTGAGCTTACCGTTGACAAAATGCCTCTTCTAGTTAAAGGCTTGCTACTGAAATTAACTCTGAATTGAAAAGTATCAGATTCTATGCACCATTCTATTCCAAGTGTTCTTTCCATTGGTAGTGTATCCTTTGTCAAGTCAAGACTTTTAATGTTGTCAGATATTACTTCTGGACTAATAGCAGATATTACTTCCTTTTCATTTGAGGAAAATTTGTGCAATGTGAAACCTGCTAATTTACATAAACTTTTACTTTTATCAATCAAATCAATAGCTTCAGCTACTGTTGACACTGACATTAACCAATCATCCCTACTTAATTCTTCCTTTGGGATTGGTTCTGCATAACCTTTCTCTATGAGATCCTTCATAAATTTACATAATCTTCATAGTAATCTTTCCTTTGCCTAAACTTTCTTTTAAGATTCATTAACCTGTGCAAAATTACATCTCTATTATTTGGGAACTTGAAATCTATATTCTTTAAAGGCAGAGGCATTTCATAATGACCTCTTTCAACCTGATGAATACCTTCTCTCATTCTTTTTATAAACATTTTATCATCTTGAGAAATAGGACAATCATCATTTACTTCATTAAAATCAAGCTCAAACATCTTTTTTACTTGCTCAGGATTAATAATCTCTTTGACCTTTGTAGGCACTGTGAAAAGACAACATTTCTTCTCATGATTAATTATTACTTCTTGCATCATTGTTCTGTGCACTGACACTACATCTACTTCCTTTGAATCAACACCTCTGACTTTACCTACAATGCCCCAACCAAGATCAGTTCGTTTTTGCATAGGGATCATTGTCATTGCCAGTAATGATTTCCTTTGGCTTAATTGCCTTAATACAATTGAGACCAATCAGGAGTCCTACTTCTACATCATCACTGTAAGGCATCAGTTTCTCTACTATTCTTTCCAAATGTGGCCAACCTCTGGCAGTTTCAGGTCTTGGTATTTGATCTCGCCTGCAAGGAATCACTTCTCTAGAATAAGCATGAGGCAATGGTATATCTCTATTTTCACACATACACTTTACAATTAGATAACAAGTTTTAGAGCATGTAACAATCTATTCACCATTCACAGTAGCTAATCTTAGATGAACCTTTGTTCCTAACTTACCTAGAGTACTGTTTTTAGTAAAACACACATCAGACTGATCATCAAGTAATGCATACACCAAGACCTTTTTCTGCTCGTCACTTTTATGGTGCAACCACACAGGAACTATCATTGAGTTAACATCCATAGCAATACACTTGTTAACTTTAATTGTATTAGAAAACATTTGCCTCTTTGTCTTGTTCCTTAACTTGAACTTTATTTTCAGACTCCCATCTGTTCTTTTGTACTAGTGCTTCATCATGGAGAGAAGTAGGATGCAATTTATTACAAGTTGTACATTTACTCCTTTGATGACAAAATCTAATATGTGTCCCCTTTTAGGACAACCTCTACATAATTTGTTTTTATTAACAAAATTTCTTTTGTCTTTCAAATCCAAATTTGAAAACTTATTACAATTATTAAGATTATGTAGCTGACTGCAAAATGGGCAAGCAAATCTACTGTTGTCACTTATTTTATCATTGACTTCATTGGTTTCTGTGACAAAGCTCTTCACTAACCTTGACTTTTGTTTTTGAACATTTACTGTTATATTACCTCTAACACCTTTATCTTGAACTGCAGAGACTGAAGTAATTGGGTTGATGCCTTTGAAGCTTCTTTTCTTACAAATGTACAAAATTTTGTGAAAGAGGGAAATTCTGCTGAATATAATAAGCCATCATCACTTCATCATCAAGTTCACTGGCTTTATATAGCTCCCTATCTACAATTGTATTCCATCTTTCAACTATAGGATGTGGCAATTTTTGTAACATTCTCTGATTCTCTTTGGGATCATTTAATATATTCAAATACTGAATATTACTCATTGCTGTCTTGCATGTCTCCAAGAAATCAGAAAATTTCATCAAAGCTGGTCCGTCACTTAGAGGAATCCTTGGCCACTCATGTAATTTCTCTCTATATGCATTAGCAATTACAAAGGCATTACCAATCTTTGTTTTAAAAGCTTTCTAGCTTTACTGTAAGCTTCAGTACTATCTAATAACAAAAGTCCACTTATAACTTCTTTTGCTTCTCCATCTGTATATTTGCTTAAATAATACATTCTTTCAGCTGCTACTTTAGTTTTTGACTCAATTAAAGTATCAAATGACTTAACCCACATGAATACTGAAGTATATCACCTTTGAAGACTTCTGGTTCAGGCCTAGGAAGTGAATCACTAATTTGCCTAGCACAAAGAATTTCAGCTAATTGTTGGATAGCATTCTTTCTTCTGTTCTCCCTGTACAAGAACTTTCCATCGTTTTTTGAATTAACAAATACCTCATCCTTTGGAAAAAAAAATGTATTAGCTTTAGGATTCAGATTACTCGATATTCATTCGTCAAGGTTTAGTTTCTCTCTTTGATCTTCAATGGATTTAATTTACTCTAGATAAATATGCTTATGGTGTGGTAATGTTTTCACAATGGGTCTCCAATACTTCTTTTTTATATCTTGCTTACTTCAAACCCCTGATTCTTTAATTTTCATTCGAATTCATTTTTGATTCCAACATTTTCTAGGTCTAACTTGCTAATTCTCAATTATTTCTTTCTGTCTTTTGATTGAAGAAATAATTGAACACCTAGAATGTCACTACTCCTAATACTACCTGCAATTGAACAAATTGTTTTTGTTCTTTCTTGATATCAAAATTAAGCTTTGTGTGTCTTCTTCACATTTAATATATTGATCTGTATATTATTAGAAGTCCAGAGCTTATATTTCATAGGCAGTGTACAGCTTCAAACTTGGGTACTAGTGAAATCTAGCTTCTTAATTTGATTAAAATTTAGATCACGTAATCTATTATTTATTAATATAAACTCTTTCCAAGAGTTTTTGCCTCAAAAATTTGTCTTACAGACTTTAACTTCATCGTTCATAACCTTTTTGAGTCTTAGTTCTAGATTCTTACATGATCATCATCCTGAATAACATTTCATGCAATTCTATTCAGGGTTTTCAACTTCAAACAGTTGTGACTATCGTGAAACCGTGATAAACAAAAAAGCAATTATAAAAAAATACCTGTACTGCACAGACACAGTTACCCGCATAAACAATATTGTTCTGCAATACATATTTTAAACTACAGATCCAATAGTGGGAACGAAATATCTTTGGTTGATACTGTTGTTTTTGCTGTGTTGGTCACTTCTTGTCCTGTTGTTCTTGGAATGTTGTCGGTGGATGAAATGAATAGTTATGATACACTTGATGTTGTGGAGAATAACTGTCTATGCGTGAGCAAATAACAACTGTATCTTGATAGAACGTGTAGGCGTGTGATGGTAGTATGCCTTCTTTGGAATGACACTTTGTTTTCATCTTCTTGGCTGAAATACGACTAGTTGTATTTCCTGTTGGCATGTTGAGGTTTATAGTTGAAGTTCTGCTTTCATTGGTGTTTTAATTGGGTGATATTCTGTCGTGGAGTAGGGACCTCGAGTTTTTACACTTAGGGTGGGTTTTACTTAGGGTGGAGTTTTATTGGTTGGAGTTTTACTTGGGTGGAGTTGGTTTACTGCATGAAAACATCTATGGATTCGGAGTAAAACCATGGTTGGTTGTTGTTCTCTTTTATTCTCCATAATGATGAATAAGTTTCTCATCTTCCATACCGTAATCATACGATAAACTGACAACAAAAACAATTTGGAGTAACAAATGTGGCCACGTGGTTTTTATATATATTAATTCGGTATAGTTACACAAATTACACAATTAAAGCACATGATTGCATGTTACCCCCCATTATATACAACATAAAATCATAATAATTGGTTGGGATAAATTTACAAAGCTATAATTTAACTCAAACTACAATAGGGCTGTGCTGTTAGCGCCATGCTTGCGTTGAAGTTAAACAAAACGGAGTCAATACGTTATGTATGCGACTTTGGCAATAGTTTTTAAACATTTTTATTCTCTTTTATTTTTAATGGGCTGTGCTACACTTACAATTCTCATTATAGAATCTTATTATATTGAATATTATTTTATTTTCATTTCATCATTTTATTATCTTATCAACGTGATATTAGTTTATATTATTACTATTAAATATATGAATATTACTATATTTAGAATTATTAGTCTATTATCTTATTATCTTCATCTATCATTATCAAAAAATTCATTATGTTATTCATTACATCATATTATGTTATGTTAATACAATTATTCATTATCATCTTTTTTTAACTTAATCAACATTTTCTAAATACTCAAATATCATATTCTTCATCACAAATATGTTCCATTAGCTTTTATATCCTCTGGGGATCTAAAACTGCATCGGTTCGAAATGCAACACGGAAGCATTTGCTAAGTATGTAACTTGCATATAAATAATAATAGTGAATCTATTTCTTGTTTAAAAAGAAGAAAGAAAGAAAGGAAAAGAAGAAAGAAAAAAAATATAATATATAATTATAATTTTGGGGTTTAACTGTTTATCGCTATCATTTTTTTCTTCATTTCATTCCGTTATCGTTACTATCTATATTCCAATACTATCAAATCTTTAATTAATAATGTATTATCTTATTCTAGCATCATTAGTAATAAAATATCACACCAGTATCATTTATTACAATAATATTCATCATTGCTGTTATAATTATATACTCATAATCATCTTATAATATCATCCTTTTTATCCTTATCTATATAAAAGAACAACAATAAATAAAATAAATAAATAAATGAATATTAGTTAAACAATTTCTTCACGAAATTGGCTCAATAGAATGTAAAGTCAAGATTTTCTTTTTTTACTTTATTCTTGTGTCTTCTGCCTTTTTTCTTTCTTCCTTTCTTCTTCTGTCTCTCTCTTTCTTTCTTTTTCTCTCTTCTCTCTTTTTCTTTTTTCTTCTCTCTCACTTCTTTTCTTCTAATTTTCTCTCTTTAGTGTTATTTATATCTTACTAATATCTTTTTATTATTATTATCGGTATATAACTTTCTTTTATTACTATTTCATATTATATTTCTCTTCTTTCATTACGGTTTCAAGATTCCTCGATCCCTCCTCCGGGATTCCCCCCTTCCCCCTTCCTATAACTCCATCCTCCTCCTCCGGTCTTTTCCCCCCACCCTCGGTCTTCTCCCCCTCTCGGTCTTCTCCACTACCCCCTCGGTCTTTCCCCACCTGGTTCCCATATTGTCCTTCCCTTTCTGCTTTTATCCCCCTATCTCTTTTCTTTCTCTCAATGATGGTTTTTCTTCTAAATTCCGCCCCCTCACGTCCCTCTCCCACCCTATCCACACTCTCACCTGACCCTCCTTCCCCCCTATACCATTCTCTCTCTTCCTCCCTCCTACTCCCTCCCACCCCATCCTCCTCTTTCTCTCCTTCCCCTCTATTCTTTATCCCTCCCTAACCACTCCTACCCCTCCCCATCCTATTCTCCCTTCCTCTTCTCTCTCCCCCCTCCCCTTCCCCTTCCTCCCACATCCCATTCTCTCTTTCCTCCTTCCCCCTTTTCCTTCTTCATACCTTCACACCCCCCATACACTCCCATCTCCCCTTCTCCACCTCTCTCCCTTTCCCTCCCTCCTCCACATATCTAACCACTCCAACCCTCCCCCTCCCTTCGCTTCTTCCTCCCATAACTCCCCACTATCCCTCCCCTTCCCCATTCTCCTTCTTCTCCCTTACCCTCTTCTTCCTTCACTCACCTTCCCTTACCACTCCCCATTCCCCCTCTTTCCTCATCCTGTTCCCTTTCTCCCTCCCCCACCCCATCCTCCATCCCCTCCCTCCCCCACCCCATCTCCCTCCCCCTCTCCCTCCCCCATCCCCCTTCCCTCCCCCACCCATCCGCCATCCCCCTATCCTCCCCTTCCCCCTCCCCATCCCCCACCCAGCCTCCCTTCCCTCT